TTAGACCATGAATGTTCTCTGTGCTCCAGGTAGGGGATGTGGTTCCTCAGCCAATGTCAATTGAATTGAACTTGCACAGCACAGAAAAGCAGGAGAGCTTTCCAGAAAACTACTCACAGACCCTTTTTGACCTGATCTGGGAGAAGATTGTGGGGCCAAGAGCATGGGCCAGGGAGCAGGGAAAAGCAAGCAGCATTGTCCTTCATCCTGAGTGGCTCAGTCAGGAGATCAGTCCTGCTCTACAAGATGCCAGACCTTGCCAGTGCTCACACAGACACCTGGAAAACAGGAGCAGGGGCTGGCAGGAGGGGAGGGGAGGGTGGCAACACCCTGCAAGAGTGGGGATTCACACTCAGTCCCAGCCTTTGAAGGCATAAACCTTCCATCAGGATTACTGAACTCCCACCAGGGATATTTCCCCTTTCCCCCTTCCCTCTTCCTTTTTTTTTCCACTCGGGCAGACACTTCCACTGCTGCAGGGGATCTCCCCATCCCTCCAGGTTCAATCTTCTTCATCACTGGTGTTTTCTCAGAGCTGCTGGCCCAGCCCTGGTGCTCCTGGAAGAAGAAAGCAAAGCTCATGGGAAATGGGTGGCAGCCCAGGCTGTCAGCCTGGGGGCACTGGGGCGGCTGCTGGCTTCAGCCTTTGCATCCCTGTGCTCTGCAGCTTCCCTAAGGAAAACACTGAGATTTTTCAAACATTTCAGAGGGATTAGCAGGCCCAACTTCTATTAAAATCAACAGGAACTAGACATGCAGGCAGCTGGGGAAAGAAGAAAAGGAAAAGGACATTAAACACCCAACTAAAGCTGTAGTGATGAATCAACCATACTGCAGCCCCCAAAGGATGAATCAAGTATATCATTAATCCACACTTTTCAGACAACTAAAATTTGCCTTAAAAGTCCATGAGTTATGAATACACTGGGGTTTTTTTCAGTAACATGCAAAGCAAGGGAATCATTCAATTACACACAAATACATAGGAATATTTTCTGTTGGCCTTTAAAGGACCTGCTTGTAAAAATATCTTTTCTGACTGTCATTTACTTATACCAAGGATCTGGCGATTAAGAAAGCAGGGGCCGGGCCAGGCCAATTTCTCATGTGGTGAAACTCCACTGAGTACAAATGCATTGAGGGTAGGACAGTGCAAGCATCCCTCCCAGGAAGAACAGGAGTAAGAAATGCCTGGTAAAACTAAATCCCTCTGAGGGCTGCCTGGTGTGCTGCCTTCTGCCATGTGGCTGAGGCTTTTCCATCAGTCCTGCCATCTCCTTTATGGTGCCTGTTGAAAAGACCCCACAGCTAATAGAGGAGCAGCAGCTCCTGTTGGACAATGAGATGTGCATGCCATAAATCCAGGGCTCCCGACTGACGGCCGGATTTCTGTCACTCTGCTTTCACAGGGGGGAGCTCCAGACCCCTGGCAAAGTGATTCATGGGCTCTGGGTTGAAGGCAGCTCAGGCTTCCTGCAAATCACAGAGTTCTGGGTGGATGGTGGAGATGTGGTGTGGAACAAACCTGGCCTCTGAGCAACAGGGACACCAGGAGAGATGAGCACCAGCGTGCTGTTGCCACCTTGCCACGCCACCATGACTTGATTATGTGTCCTGGGAGCTTGGGAAGTTAAATCTCATTAACTAAAAGCAGTATAAACACAGTAAGAAACTGCAGAGCTCCCCATTCCTCCTGCTGTGCACAACTGCTGGAGATCTGGGAGAAAAACCTTCTTCCCAGGCTTCTTCTAGATTTCCCTTCCAAGGGAAGGCTAGCACTGAACATATTCACATTTGGTTTTCCTTTCCCCAAGTCTACCCGAATAAAAAAGAATTGCTGAACATTTGCAGGCAAATTTCCTCTCACATGGTATTTTAAATCTCATGGTATGCCATCAGAACAGGCTTTGTATCAACCATTTACAGCATAGAAAGCTCAAGGGAGTACAGTGAGTAAGACATATTAGTGACAAAACCCCTTCTAGTTGGCTAGAGAGAAATTAGGACCAGAAAAGGTGGAGCACTTTGGTTAAGATTTTTCATCTATGAGCACCACTGACACAGAGGGTTCCTCTCTGTGCCTTGCAGTATCAGGCTTCTAATTAATTTAATTGTCCTTATGATGGGCAATTAAGTGCCAGCCCAAGAGTGTCCTCCAGTCTATCTAAATGAAGAGGAAGCTGATGATATACAGTGAGGGGGAGGAGGATGATTCCAGCCCCAAATGGCTCATAGTGCCCAGCTTTATTTATTTAATTTTTTTTTAAATGACACAGATTTGAAGCTTCCCTTCACAGCAAGAATTTCAACACCAACCACCCTGGAGGATCTGGCTGCTTGAAGAGGGCCTGGCTGGTCAGGAATGAGCCTCTGCCTCAAAGGGTCTCGTTCAACCCCTGTGCAGCAGATGGAAACTCATGAGCTGTCAGGATGCTCACACAGTTGGACCCCAGGACTTGCAGGTGGAAACAGTGCCCATTTTTTGTCCTAAACCAGTTGTTTTAGTTGAAGGACCTCTCCATAACCCTGCCAGTCAGATATCCTGAGACTGCTGAGCTGATAACCAACGCCATTTCCTGAATCCACTGGGTTGGGGCAGCCTGGTGGGTCACTCCCTGCCTCTCTCTGCTTTCACCAAGTAGCTCCTCACTGCCATTTGTCAGACTCTCATCACTCAAAAGCATTTCTTCATTCTCTGGGGTGCAAGATCTTGGCTTTGGTGAGCTGGCTCAAACCATTCGCCAAATGGTGTAACAAAAGACAGGAGAGCTCCAGTCTGTGGCTGAAGATGTGGGTGGAGTTTACCAAACCCCAGCTCTGGAGGAGCCTGGAGCACACCCAAACCTTCCCTCCACAGACCTGGGAGCACCGGCTGCCCTGGGCTTCCTCTGAGGACACCAGGCCCAGCACAAACACAGGGCTCCTTTTGTGCAAACAGTCCCTGTGATTACCAGCTGGACTAATGTGGAGAGGAAGGCATTTACCTTCCCCAAGCACCTGCAGCAGCCCTTCCTTCTGCTTATCTCATTTGTGCTGGCAAAAATAAATCCTCTGAGGATCCAATTTGCCCTATGGAAAACAAAAAACCAACACCCAAACTGTCAGTCATAAATATGCCCTAATTAGCAATTTTAAAAGGGAAAAAATATACAATACAGACACATGCATATAAAATATGCTTCATAATTGAGACTTCTCCAGTGCTCATTAGTTGCTGAATATAGATGTTGTGGGCTGCTGTACCCACTCAGAGCCACCAGCTTTGCTGTTGCCTACTTCACCAACTGATTTCTCCAGGTGGGATGTGAAAATGAGGCCAGTTCCTGGCACAGGCATCTAAGGACATAAGAAGATTATTTGAGGGGGTCAAGGTCCAAGGGAGAAGCCTCACTGCTTAGAAGTGGGAGTGATCTTTCTCCCCCATCATGCAGAAAGCACAGCAAGATGATGCCAGGCCATTTCCTGGATGGTTCATCTCTGGTTCATCTTCTCTGCTGATGCAAAAAAAAAAAAAAAAGAAAAAAAATTAAAACCCCCCATAGATATTTATAAAAAGCACATTTTTTTTTTCCCAGCAGAAGAGGTGCAGATGGTAAGGGACCAAACTGGAGATTTTTACTTTTCAAGGGGTCATGTGCAGCAGCCTGTGCCTGTCCCCTCTCTCCAAGAAACCCAGCTCGTGGTGCAGGGACCAGAGGGGCATAGGCAGGAGCTTGAGCAGGGCTGCACAAATGCAAAACTGCAAAAATACTGTCATGTTCACAACTGCCACCATCTAGAACACCAGTACCCAGAGAAGAATTCCATTATTTTAAATTATGAGTAAGGATGGACTAAGGTGTACTTATATGTAGCATGCAAACATACAGCCACACAAAAAGCAGCAAAATATGTGAAGGTCAGAACTGAAACAAAAAAAAATTCTATTTGGACTTACAAATGAGAGGGTTTTACTGGTTTTGGGAAGTGTTTCTGCACAGGCAGTGCTGCCATTTTGACTTTTGCTTCAGGGTGGAATGGGGCAAAACCTGCGCCAGAAAATGATGCTGACTGATAAAGGCTGAGCTTTTTAGCAGCTTCATTTCCCCAGATGCCAAAGCTGTTTGTTTCTTAGGATCTTTACTGGGAGGTGGGTTTGCTCTGCTCTCCCCGTCCCCTGAGCTGGTGCACAGGAGCAGGGCCAGGCACCCACATCCCAGGGGCTGGAGAAGAGCTGGCTCTGTCAGGTCAGTGCCTGGCTGCCGCCCCTCGTGCTGCACCAGGGCTGCTCAGGGCAGTGCTCTGTGTCCCCTTGGGGGGTGACACAGCACTCAGGTGGCCTCTGAGCAGCCACAGCTGAGGAAGGGAATGCAGCAGGGAAGGATGTACTCCCCCTGCAAACACACCAAGGGTGCACCCCCACCACTTCATCTGCCTGTGAAGTTTTTGAACTACAAAAAATCTGCCAGATGTCAGGAGAGAGGAACTGCATGCAGAACTTGGTTGCCCACTCAAAGCAAAGCAAACCAAAGTAATGCAGCCCCAAACAAGCAGATCAGGTCCGTCTGGGTACGAGTGTGTTGCCTGGGGCAGTTTCAGCACACAGTGCCTGGCTGGGCATGGAGGATGCACTGCCTTGTGTGTAGGAGAGCACAGAGTCCCTGCTGTCACAGGACCTGAGCCTGGCATGAGCAGGAGCTCTGTGATGTCCATTCCCAGAGGTGAAAACCCAGCTGCATGAGGCTGTCAAGAGAGCCAGAAGCTGCCAGTGACAGTGACAATCTTTGCCACTGCCCCTGCTGTCCATGCCAGAGGTGTAAAGAGGGTGGTTATGAGTTTAGAAGATATG